TACAAAGAATCTCACTTACCAATTCCACTTGTCCAAAAGCCATCGTCATCGTCATATTGTTTAAGGTATTATTTTTCATGAAAATCGTTGTGTTCCCTGGGTGATTTATTTAAGGATGATATGTTGTTAGATATTTATTAATTAGTGATCGTTAAATCGCATAATCCTTAATCGAGGTCTGACTTTGTAAAAAAAAAAATAAAAAAAAGGTCAACTTCTACCCAGAAATCACAAGAAACCCATAGTTGTATATTTCAGCCAATAAGCATCATCAAAATACTAGAAATTATGCTAACTCAATCTCGTACTTACTAATATTTTAATGACATCACTTCTACTTCAAGACAAACCTCCACCAGACTGATGAAAAATTTGATGATAAGACTATACATATAAAAAAGGATACTCTATTGGAAAAAAATAAATACAACCCTTTTTATTTTTTTTTCGATTTGTTTCGATTTTATTTTAATTTTTCTCTCATATATTATACCCATCTCTGACAGTCGTGTATACCATTTTAATAACGGTTTATACTCTGTTTAAATCTTTCTCATCTTAACGAAGAGTACCTTTGATGTTTTATTTGTTTTAAATAAAAATGAACAACCGACAACAAGCAAACACAGCTAACACTCCAAGACCACCAGTAGGAAATTACGCTAGAGTTGCAAAAGCTGCTGCGCAGCCAAAATCAAAAACCGTACCGCAATCACAGCTGCAACAAACGCAGCCTCAAAGACAAACGCAGCATCCGACGCAAAATAACAATACTCAACAGCAACAAACTGCTGCTGCCGCGGGACATTTGTCAAATCATGGCTCATCCCTAAACGGAAAGGTCATGCCCACGACGAAATCTCAGCCACAACAACAACAGCAGCAGCAGCAGCAGAACTCGAGTAACGCTGGTGTCGATCTAAATAATAATAACAATAATGATCGTAATGTGTCGGCAAATAATAATAATAATAAACCCCCTACACTAAAAAACAACCCAGTACAATTCTCGACTGGCTCTCCTTTCTCCACAAACACAAATGGTAAGTACTACCTACTTTCTGATCAGGGGTGGAAGGTCACAGGGTGTGAGTGATTT